GGTCGCGGAGACCTCCAACAGGGGTCACGAAGGTCCCCAACATGGGTCACCGAGGCCCCCAGCAGGGGTCACGGAGGCGCCAACAAGGGTCACGGAAGTCCCCAACAGGGGTCACGAGGGCCTCCAACAAGGGTCACGGAGGAACCAACATGGGTCACGGAGGAACCAACAGGGGTCACGGAGGCCCCCACCAGTGGAAACGGAGGAACCATCGGCCCTTCTGCTTGCAATGTTGTCCTGCCATTACGAGTACGCTTGTCAAACACATTTGTGGTCGCATATATGTTTCGCAGCATGACTGCCGCGGTCTAAAACTCGCGCAAAAACCGCTCAGGCACCTCGTTCAGCATTTGCTTCCCACGCTCGCGGCCGCAGCCGATGTTCGGGCAGCGACCAACCAGCAGCGGTCACGCGCCGCACAAGGCGCTGACGGCGACGAGAACAAATAGAGCGTGAACCACTACGCGCCCATGAGTCCGACTGGAGTAGGTAAAATCCGCGTCTGCATTCTTGGCTGCGGTACCCACATCTGAGAATTTAACGGGGCTCGCAGGTCAGAGATCGGAGGACCAGCTCGGTAAGGCAGTCACGAGATCGTCGACTTCGCCAGCTGGTGTCGCATCGGGATCGATAGCGGACATTTATGTTTTTTGTATACATCTGTACCATTCATCGACATCGACATCCATCGATAGTCACAATCGTCGACATGGCCTTGAGATTCGACACCTGTTCGTTCTTTACGCTTGCGCCCGCTTCTTATGTGCGTTACACCCGTTCTTTGCGTTCGCTGTACCCGTTCTTCATGTGCGTTACGCCCGTTCTTTGCGTTCGTTGCGCCGTTGTTTACCATTTAAAGCGTTATTGTAACCCGTTGCAAGAATAGACATAATACACTAATGTCATGAATCAACATCGCAAATATTCCGGAAGCATAATCATGCAAATGAAGTTCTTGGGGAAACAATAACTTAATTTTGCTTGCATTTTGATTCCTTTGCTTCCATTCCCTACCAAACTACCTCGTTCCAAAATTTCCCAAAATATTTGTTCCCTCGCCTCCCTTTCACCACATCCTATCCTCGGTCCCATATCGATAGGTCCCATATCCTCGCACATCCCCACCTCTGCTGCCTCCCGCCCCCCCCCCCCCCCTGAATCTACCGGCGTTCTGCCGGGCACAGTGATCCTCAGGTGACGTTCATCCCACGGGTGGTCTCACCCGGCGTCACCCGGCGTCACACGGCTGTCACCCGGCGTCACCCGGCTGTCACCTGCCCCGCCCCGTCTCCAGCGGCGGCAAGTGACACCAGGGTCGGCCCGGGTCGCCACGGCTCCCTCCACTAGCGTGTCGCCACGGCCAGCACATCGCATTGGCGCGCAATTCGGTCACGTGTCTGACCCGATTTGGCGCCCCTGCAGCGAGTGCATGACGGAGTTAGAAATTGGCGCGCGCTCGCTGCTGTCACGTGACATCGGACCGGGGAGGGGAGGGCGCGGTCTCGTCTGTCTCACGACCGACGATCACTGCCAGACGCATACAGGCGAGGTGGTTTCCTGCCCCCAGAGGAGCCACGCCCAACAGAAGCACATGTGATGATACAAATCGGTTCTCAGAATGGTCGGAGAGCAGGGCGCCTGACCGTGAGAAACGTCGCTTAGATGACGTGCCAAGACACGCAACGTGTGGCATGTAAGCAACGGTACGACTTCTGTCACTATTTACCTCGTTGGTTGGCGATAGCTGCACGCAAGTTTCATGGCTGATTTCATCAAGCAGTAGCTTGGCATCTGCCTTTTTCACGTGTGGTGAGGTCTGGACCCAATATTTAAACATGTCGTGCACTGGTAACCCAAGTTTTGAACAGGCCAGTTTGATTGTGTCGTTCCAATGACAGCGGATCCTTTGAATAAACTGCAGATGCAAAGCGACTCTAACCTCTTTTCTGGCCAGCTTCTTTGACGTAGCCGCTGTCACCTGCCACAGGCGAGCTCACTCAGGGGCAGCCAGTGAGCGCCTGGAACGGCCGGAACCCTCACCGCTACGAGGAGCTTGGGGCAGACCCTCCAACCGATTGAGCTTCGGGGCAGAAATATACTATAATAGACATGTGTACTGCATGATGTGCATGCCGTATACTACATGCCGCTGGCAATGCACGTGATCAGAGTCTATGAGTCTAGTTTATGTACTCATAATTCTAGTCTTTCCGTTGACTCTGGTCGTCCCAAAGTCAAGGCCTTCCCTTGCTCAACGCTGCTCCTCGTTGCCCACATGCAGCGCTCCACCACCAGAGCCTGAAGTCGTCTGTTTGGGAGCTGGTCATGATGATGCAGCGGGTGAACGTTCCCAGAGACCATCTTGCAGTGAATCGTTCCCCGGTGAGAAGGATGCCCTCCGCCGAGGGCGAGGTGGGTGGAACCTCCCACACGGTCAACAGCAAACGGATTTTCCCCGTCGTTTTTCAGGAAGTACCGAGGAGTACATTAAAATTTGGTGTGGGTTGAGGGGTACCCTTATTCGCCAGCTGTAGCTCTTCACGGGCTGAATTTCCCGAATCGAAACCGCCGAACACCACCGTCTGATCCGTATTTGGTCATAAATGATAAGATATCACGGCCCAATCCGAGGTTGAAGACCGCGGCAATAGCGATCCGCATCATTGCATCACACTGTGACCCCATGCAGCAGAAGGCAGTGTATGATATATCGGCATAGCGGCACATACCATCTGCACACTTTCGCAGCGTTCTGATCCAGCGTTACCCAATCCACGAATCATTCCACAATCGGTAGACTGGTCGCGTCCCTGGAGAGCTCGGTCGTTGCTAGGTCCGTGATCACGTCCCTGAAGGGCTAGGGTCAGTGATGACGTCCCTGGAGAGCTCGGTCGTCGCGAGGCTTGTGACCACACCTCTATTTTCGTACCACTCACACTGGGGGCGCACCGCTCGACGAAGCGGCTGGTAAGTGGCCTGAAGACGGCCGGCGCCATCGGACGCTAAACAAACCGCGCCGCCGCCAAAGTCAGCGGAGTCGGCCTTTTGCGACCTCAAGCCCCGGAGGCCTCTGACCTCCTGAATAGCCCGTTCTGACCTACCCGCCATTGGGGACACACCGGCGCCCCGCAATCTGATGTCATTCGACGTTTGTAAACCACGCTGTGTCTGGTGCGTGTCATCTGCGCCAGGTCTGACTTCTGGCACCTGGGCCCAATTCCATCTGTCTCATGCGTGCCATCCGCCGCTCGCCATCTGGTTGCTGTCCAACTCTGTCGTTCTGGTCTAATCGGATGTCTGTCGTGTGGGCTCGTGTTTTTTGGCGCAGGAGGATATGTCATCCGTTATCTGATGATGTGACAGTTTTCACCGGAGTTATCTCATCAGGATTCCTCAGTGATTGAAGAATGGCTGGCAGGATGATCACGAGGTAGTGACACGTGATTATTCATCCGCCACACGCGAGTTTATTCCTCACAAATTTCGTTGTGAAAAGAACAGTTTTCTTTGCTTTTGCAGGGTTCCTTTTTGTCTCACTTCTGCTTTTCCACTTTTCAGCGAACAGGGAGAAAACCAAAGCCATCTGCGGTCATTCATGTTGATGTTTTGCTATTTCATCAGGTACTTATCCGACTCTGCTGAAGCACACGAAACGTGTAAATTTGCAGAGGAAGCACAGACCAGCTGAGAAATATAAAATACCACAGAAGTCACAGAATGACCCAGCTTCATATACTTTTCACACGTAACTGATGCTCGCATGCCTGATCCTCCAAAATTTTCATTTCACTTGATCCTTGGCTAAACGTCACGAACTCAAGCAAAAAGCTGTCACTGGCGGTATTTACCACTTTCCGGTATTTTACGGTATTTTACGGCATTTTACGGTATTTTACGGTATTTTACATCCATCTCTCATCGCCCCGTTGAGGGTGCGACGAAATAAATGTACTCGGACAACACAACATAAACCGTACAGAATGTTTCTCATCGTGCCTGTTTTTGTAAGCGGCTTATGGTTCGACATTGTGGGAAACCACGGGAGCACGCTGTCCCCTTGTTTTAGTTTATGTAAAAAACGTTTGCAGTTGCAATGTCCATTACAGAGCTGGGTGATGAGGGAAAATGGAGAGCGGTGGGAAAGATTGCACGCACCTGAGAGTCCCCTGTTTCCAAGACCCGCTCAGCACGGGGAACGCTCTTGGGGGGAACGCTCTTGGGGGGTGAGGACTCGGTGCAACTGTTGCCTTCCTGGTGTGAGGCATTTAGACCCGCCCATGCTGATACGTACTGTTTAGACCCGCCCATCGCTGATATGTGCTGTTAAGACCCCCCCCCCCCATGCTGATATGTGCTGTTTGGACCCCCCCTGCTGATATGTGCTGTTTAGACCCCCCCTCATGCTGATATGTGCTGTTTAGACTCGCCCATGCTGATATGTGCTGTTCGTAGCGAGGAGACAGGGGATTCAGGGTAAAGTGGGAATGGGAACAAATGGAAGGATCAAAACGCTACAGCAAGCGACACTTTTTCATGCTCTGAACGTGGCCTCAGGTGGCTCACTTTTCGAGCAGTTTTTCGCCTCTGCTGCTCGCCAACCTGTCGTGTCCTCCTCAACTTTGACGAAAACAGGGCGATTTCCGGATTTTCAGCGGATAAAACAACCCGCTGAAAATGAGCTCAATTTCGAGCCGGGTTCGGTTATCCCGAAATGATTCTTCGACGGCAGTGTCAACATCAAGTTCGTCGCGAACGTCACCGCACCGCGCTGCGCCACCGTAATGCGTGGGACGCCCACCCATCCGATCGGGGGTGGGTGCCCGGCGGCGGAACAGGGCGAGGGCAGTTCTGTCATGGCGGTGAGAACACGCGCATGCGCCGGACATGTTCGGTTTTGCCCCGTTCTGTATCGTTCTCTGGTGGTTCTTCCCCAGCCACAAGCCGCACGGCATCACCGAGCATGCACGGTCAGTGGTCCCTAGGCCAGGTCGCGAGCTTACCCGAACTGCCACACTCTGCTCTCCCAGGTCCACTGGCGGCACGACGGGCTGTTTTCCCATAGCTCCACACGTAGCAACCGCCTCTGCCGACCGCTGTGCCCCCAGGCTCCTGCCACTCCAGCCCTCACTGGCACCGCCCCGTGCACGCGCCCGGTGCCTGCGGGCGGTCGTGACGTCACACGTCACGTGCTGACTTGGCGCGTGTTTCGCGCAGGAGAGTAGTTTATTCCCGTAATCGGCGTGGCGGTGGTACGTGGGCGGCGTCAGGGGCGCCACGCGTTTTCCTCGACCACTTCTCTTAAGACGATCTGAGGCGATTTTAATCTTTTCTTTTAGCGATTTTAATGTTCTAACGCTAGGTCACAGTTTTCCAGAGAATTTGCCTCTTTGCGGATAAACTGTGTGTAAACGTATAAGGGTGGCACTTGGCCGAGGTGGTATTGTAATTTATTAGCTTTTATTGGGAAGCCCACGCATATTCTGAAGATGGGACCAGCTGCCCGAACCTACATTACATTCGATAATTATTATTGGTGATTTGATGGCGGCTTTGAACCCGCGATGGTCCACGGTTGCATGTGGGTACACTCCGGTCCTCGATATTGTTTGTCATTGTTATCACTGGCACCCAGAATGTGAATGTTTGTTGTAAATGTGAATTGTTGTGAATGTAATTGACGTTTAACGTGTCCCGAGCTAACTCGCCGTGAGCAGGGAACACGCAATCACGGCACCAGCGGGGTGCGTCGGGCTGGATCTCACCACATGTATAGACAATCGCGCTGGTTATTTTGTAGGGTGTCGTGGTGCACTGCCTTGTTGGATGCTGGGCCGGCCGGCCCGGCTGGTCCGGTTCGGTCCGGGCCGGCCCGGCTGGTCCGGTTCAGTCCTGGCCGGTCCGGCTGGTCCGGTTCGGTCCGGGTCGGTCCGGGCCGGTCCGGTTCGGTCCAGGCCGGTCCGGCTGGTCCGGTTCGGTCCAGGCCGGACCGGCTGATCCGGTTCGGCCCGGGCCGGTCCGGCTGGTCCGGTTCAGTCCGGGCTGGTCCGGCTGGTCCGGCTGGTCCGGCTGGTCCGGTTTGGCCCGGGCCGGTCCAGCTGGTCCGGTTCGGTCCGGGCTGGCCCGGGCCGCCGGCTCGGGTCACCTTGCCCGCGACGTCGCGCCGGAGCACAGCCCTGCCCGACGCACGGTGATTGGTCAGTGACCACGTGACCCGTGTCTGGGTCGGGTCGCCGGGCCGCGGTGGGCGGGATTGCTGGAACAGAATTGGGCGAGTGTGGAGATTCTCGAGGTGTCAGCGGCCAGCGGAGCGAAGGCTTGTTGAATACACAAATTGGATGCATCAAGAGCGGTGTCATCAGACAACGTCGGCCAGGCTTTAAAACAATACGGTAGTGACTTAGTGCTTGTTTAAGGTTATTTCATCAATCTAAAACACTGCAGTAGCTCATGGCACGACAAATGGCGTACTTCCAAACTGACTTTAAGGAGCAAAACTCGAAGTCCTCTGGTTGAACTCTCATATAATGTCGTCTTGAAAAATGCACTCTTGGCTTGGAGAAGCCATCCCCCAAATCTGCACGCGCGTCCGAATAAAGATTCTCAACTTCGAAAATAAAATCCCCCTTATATGTGCACATGGAAGACACGCATGTGTACATGTGTACAAGGAGCATTGGTTCAGTCCGATCCAACTTTAAATCAGGCTCTGCTCACGCTAGTCCAGATTCGGAATCAGTTGCACCTTCGGCGAAATCAAGCATTATTGCTCACTCTAGTCCAGATTCGGAATCGGTTTCACCTCGGCGAAATCAAGCATTATTGCTCACTCTAGTCCAGATTCGGAATCAGTCTCACCTCGGCGAAATCAAGCATTGTTGCTCACTCTAGTCCAGATTCGGAATCGGTTTCACCTCGGCGAAATCAAGCATTATTGCTCACTCTAGTCCAGATTCGGAATCGGTTGCATCTCGGCGCAATCAAGCATCATAACACCTAAGAACACCAGCAAACCACGCTGCGAGGTTCAGCGACAGTCTGCCTCGCCTAACCCAGGACCGGCGTCGCTGACGTAGCCGAACAGCGCGTGGAGTGCCGACCAGATCTGCTTTCCTTCCGGTCACTTTCCCTCGCGTGCGGCACCGCGGCGGCAGGAAAGCCAGGCCGGAAAAGGCCGCCTTCTCACCCCAAACAATGCGGGCACAAACTACGACCGAGTGCATTCTGCACGGACACGGTCGTCTGGGATGTGTTGACAAGCGGGTGCTCGCTGTGGGGTAGTACAGGACCTTTTCGGGTTCTAACAAACCAGTGGCATATGCGATTCCGTGTGACGATCTCGTGTGGCCACCAGCTTGTCTTTCATTATCACTCACACCAAGCCTGCCTTGGTTCAGGGAAATACCTGATTTTCGGCATTTTCGTGGAGATTTCGTGGTTTGAAAAGGTAAGTCGCAAGCTTTGAGCCTGTTTAAGACGTTGAAGGTGACCTGATCTGGCTTTTCACCAGCATATTTCAAGAAGTCAACTTGGACGTCGCGGAGGTCTTCGCCCGCCGATCTCTCTACCGGTTTCCTTGCAGAGCTCCGCCGAGTTTGGAACACAATGATGAAGCAATTCGCTTCGTCATTGTGTTCCCAACTCCCGTGGCTGGCCAGTGAGGACAGCTCTCGTCCGGCTCAGGCTGCTGTCAGACGTGTCCAGCGATGAGGACAGGTACTTCAGGAGGACATGATAATGATGATGGTTTGTGCTTCAGGAGGACATGATAATGATGATGGTTTGTGCTTCAAGGAGGACATGATAATGATGATGGTGTGTGCTTCAGGAGGACATGATAATGATGATGGTGTGTGCTTCAGGAGGACATGATAATGATGATTTGTGCTTCAAGAGGACATGATAATGATGATGGTGTGTGCTTCAGGAGGACATGATAATGATGAATGGTTTGTGCTTCAGGAGGACATGATAATGATGATGGTTTGTGCTTCGGGGCGTGCTGACTGCGGTGGTCATATGCCCCCCCCCCCTCCCTCACGCAGCCCGAGCACTTCATCGCTCCTGGTCGGCGGTTTCCTCCAAACTGGCGCACAGATCTACCTCAGCCTAAGGCCAGTGTTTCCGTTACCTTGACACAGCCTGAGCAGCGGTAGTGCTACCCTGCCCAGACACCGTCGGCAACACCAGCGCCTACCTGCCCAAACGCTGTCGGCGACACCAGCGCCACCTGGCTCAGTGCGGCAATCGCTGTCATTGGGGCTTCATGACGCACTCAGCTGCTGAGGCTATTACAGCGTTGCTTGCCTCTCAACCCAACAGGAAGGGTGGATACCGCGGGGAATAGAACTTCATACTTTTGGCTTTCCTAGACGCGCGTTCAGCGCGACAGGCGGCACCCACGTGACCCCAGAGACCCGCTCCGCGCGACAACAGCGCGGAGCGGGTCGAAAGGTCTCGGGACAAGAGACCACCCCGAGAGAGTCCGGACGCAGCGGACTGGCACCAATCACCAGCTGCGCACCGGGCTTCCTACGTATCCCAGTTATTCAAGCTGGAACTCGGATCAAACAAGGTGGATCAGCAGCCTATGAGGTCCGTCGCTCCGCTGCAGAATGTCCCATACACATTGGGGAAGAAACCAAAGACAAAGACTTGGGTTTCCGGCAGGGTGTCACCACTAGGCACCACCTCTTTAAGTGCTTCTCTCACTTTTTCTTGTGAATTAATGCTAGCATTTAGTAGCGGGTGCTGTTAGCGTGGTGGTTAACCGCTCGCGTTGACCACTGCGCGTCTGGGAAGCCAGAGGTACGGGGTTCGATTCTCCTCGGTGCCCGCTCTTCCTGCCAGGATGGTAGACAGGCTACGCCACTTGGCCTCAACAGCTGAGCTCGTCTTAAGAGCCCCAATGATACTAACACTAACACTAACACTAACGACACTAACACTAACACTAGCACTAACGACACTAACACTAATGACACTAACGTGACGAATAAGTCGATCAGTAGTGATACCCTGCTCCCACTAGTATTGGTAGAATACACTAGCGGAGCACTACCACTACTGCCCCTGTTGCGAAAGTGACTGTGTGATATCCGCGTTCCATTAGCCCGCGTTAGGACCAGAACTGTGCGAGCCGGTTACAGCGAAAAGAGCAAATGCCTGACAGAGAAGGCACCAAATTAAGTGGGAAAGCACGTAGCAATTTCCGACAAACCCTCCGTTGTTTAAAGTAGAGCCGTGTACGCGCACTATTAACTGTTTTTTATGACAAATTCGTCAGAGAGAAGCGGCTGGCAGGATGATTTTGCACCATTTCAGACCTGCCTAGTGTCCGATTTGACGCTAGTTTTGGGTGTATTTGCCGTGCACAACGCCCCTCAAACCGGCGTCGATTGCTTTTTCAGCAGTGTGGCTTGCCAGATGACTCAGCACGTGCGCTTCAGAGACCTTTAAGCGATTGCTTGTTACTGAAGTGAGCAGTGTTTGACGAGGGAACAGGCGCGGAAAATATATTTTACTTCCAGGGCGAGTGCATTGACAGAGTGGAGACGTTGATCCCATACCGTACATGAACGTGACATATATCCGACACTTACCGTAGATGATTGAGCCAGGAAACCAAATATTTCTCTACGTCAATTCGCCAAAAGCATTTATCTTCCGGTGTGACATGCCCCCAAAGCTCGCCGGTGCGCCCGCTTTAAATGCGAACATCCAGCGAGCCTCACTGATAGGACCAGGGAACGGTACAGACATCGGCATTTTTCGGGTGGCCTTCTTCGGACGATGGTCTTGCGTCGAGACTGGTGTCAGCCCTAAGAGATCGGGGTCGTACCCACAGCTGGGGTCATACCCACAGCTGGGGTCATACCCACAGCTCGGGGTCATATCCACAGCTCGGGGTCATACCCGCCGCTCGGGGTCATTTCCACAGTTCGAGGTCACACCCACAGCTAGGGGTCATAACCACAGTTCGAGGTCACACCCACAGCCAGGGTCGTCCCAACTCAGGTCACACCTCACAACTCGGGGTCGTACCTGCAACTCGGGGTCATACCCACAGCTCGGGGTCATACCCACAGGTCGGGGTCGCATCCACAGCTCGAGGTCACACCCACAGCTGGGGTCATACCCACAGCTCGGGTCATACCCGCCGCCCGGGGTCATACCCACAGCTCGAGGTCACACCCACAGCTGGGGTCATACCCACAGCTCGAGGTCACACCCACAGCTGGGGTCATACCCACAGCTCGGGGTCATACCCACAGCTCGGGTCATATCCACAGTTCGAGGTCACACCCACAGGTAGTGGTCACACCCACAGCTAGGGGTCACACCCACAGCTCGGGGTCATACCCACAGGTCGGGGTCACACCCACAGCTCGGGGTCATTCCCACAACTCAGGGTCACACTCACAACTCGGGGTCGTACCTACAACTCGGGGGCATACCCACAGCTCGGGGCAATATCCACAGCTCGGGTGACACCCAAGGCTCGGGATCGTACCCACAGCTCGGGGACATACCCACAGCCCGGGGTCGTACCCACGAGCGAAAACCAAACATCTGCAGTGGAGACGCCGCACGATCACGTGTAGGAGCCTGTCCCTGTGTGCGAGAGGTTACTCACCTTCCGACACGCGCCATGGATTCCCGACCTTGATCCGCGATCTGTCGGCTCCCGACAGCCGGCTCATATGACAGTGACGTCAGCTGCGCACTGCGGTAGCTCGATCGACGATAAACCCTGCAGCGAGATCGCCACCGTCTGTCCCGTAGACACGCCGCCATGGGCCGTGAAGATGAGGGAGAATTTCATTCCGAGAGCAGGCGTATCAGCACTCAGACGATGCTGGGCGGTGAAAGGCGTGCGACGTCGCCGACGAAGCTCCGCCCACCAATTTACAGCCCACTGCCAGCTCTTATGGGAGTTCTTGACAGGGGCGGAACTTCGTGATAAATACCGTGGTTGGGGAGAGTGAAGTGGAATGAGGAAGATTTCATTTCTTCCACGTCGCATGCAATACGGAAGCCTCATACAAATTGGCATGTAAACTGAAGCTGCCAAAATAGCGTGTTTATGACGCGAGTGGCATATGCAGAACAGTGTGGAAAGACATGTGTGCTAGTGTGGAACACATTCAAATCTCGTGTGGGAAGAGAGTGTATCGATATTTGGTAGCCACGCAATGAGCACCATTCACTCGAAATGACGTACAGTTCTTTTGTTTTCTTCGTGGGAAAAGTCAGAAAGTTCGCCCCCACACTCCTCGCGAAGAAATTGGCTTGAATTGAAGCAAAATTCAAGTAACATTAATCCGACTAACGGGGCAGCGACTTCGCTTGCACGTGGCTGAAGACCATGTGTGTATGTGACCAGGGAGGGTGGCGATAGTGTAGTGGTTAACCACCGCGCGTCTGGGAAACCATAGGTCCGCGGTTCAATTCCCCACGACGCCCACCCTTCCTGCCAGAGTGCGAGGCGGGCGACGCCGTGTAACCTTAGCAGCTGAGTGCGCCGTAAAGCGAAATGATAACGACGGGTGTAACTGGCCGGTGCATTTGCATGATGTAGCCGGCGACTGCGTTTGACCTCGTTTGACCTCGGACCCGCGCTCAAACTCGAACAAGACGGGCAACGACGTTCAACCGCGCAACACAGGAATCCGCGCATGCATTTACAATATGTTAGAAACCACCGGAGCACGAGTCAACGCTGGGCCCACAACTCGACACGTCATGGTCTTCGAGATCATTCGCGTGCTCCGTGTGCTCGACGCGTCTGCCGAACGAGCGACAAACGTCAGCTGAACCCGCGTTACGGGTTCAACGCCAGCCGAGTTCCACGGGTTCAGCTATGCAGCCGGTGCAATGGCGTAACGTGAGCGACGTTGAGTCGAACGAAGCAGCCTGGCCGAGTGGGGGCTTCGGTGCGGGGTCGCTGCCGCGTGGAGGCTGTAGCCA